ACTCAGGCTGAGGCAGGAGAATCACTTGAACCTGGGAGGCAGAGGCTGCAGTGAGCCAAGATTGCACCACTGCTCTCCAGCCTGGGTGGCAGAGTGAGACTCCATTTCAAAATAATAGTAATTTCAGTGAAGTACAATTTATGTATTTTTCCTTTTGTCACTTGTGCTTCTGGTTATATAGCTAAGAAACCATTGCCTAGTCTGAGGTCACTGACTTTTACATTTTCTTTTCTTTTTTTTTTTTTTTTTTTTTTTTTTGAGACGGAGTTTTGCTCTTTTTGCCCAGGCTGGAGTGCAGGGGTTGCAATCTTGGCTCACCAGAACCTCCACCTCCTGGCTTCAAGCGATTATCCTGCCTCGGCCTCCCAAGTAGCTGGGATTACAGCATGTGCCGTCACGCCCAGCTAATTTTTGTGTTTTTTATAGAGACAGGGTTTCTCCATGTTGATCAGGGTGGTCTCGAACTCCTGACCTCAGGTGATCTGCCACTTCGGCCTCCCAAAGTGCTGGGATTACAGGTGTGAGCCACCACACCCAGCCTGCATTTTCTTCTAAGAGTATTACAGTTTTAACTCTTACACTTAGGTCTTTGATCATTTTGAGTTAATTTTTGTGGATGGGAAAAATAAAAACAAAATAATTTTGTGATTGGGATAAGGAAGAGTGCATCCTCATTCTTCAGCATGTGGCTGTCCGGTTATCCCATTTGTTGAAAAGACTGTTTTCTCCCCCACTGAATTGTCTTGGCACCTTTGTCCAAAATCATCTGACGATAAATATGAGGGTTTATTTCTGGACTCTCAGTTCTGTTCCAATGATGGACATCTCTGTCCTGTTCCAGTGCCCCCCTGTCTTGTACACACAGCTGTGGGATAAGTTTTGAAATAGTGAAGTGTGAGTCTTCCAACTTGTTCTTTTTCAAAATTGTTTTGGCTATTCTGGTCCCTTGCATTTCCATATGAATTTCCCAACCTGCTTGTCAGTTTCTGCAAAGAGGAAAAGAAATGGTTGGGATTCTGATAGGGATTGCATTTTGAATCTGTATCAGTTTGGAGAGCGTTGCCATTTGTACAGTGCTAGGTACTCCAGTCTTTGAACACAGGATGTGTTTTTATTTATTTAGGTCTTCTCTAAAGAATGGCCAAGGCTGGGCGCAGTGGCTCATGCTGGTAGTCCCAACACTTTGGGAGGCTGAGGTGGAAGGATCGCTTGAGTTCAGGAGTTCAAAACCAACCTGGGCAACATAGATTTTGTTTGTTTGTTTGAGACAGGGTCTCTCTCTGTCACCCAGGCTGGAGTGCGGTGGCATGATCTTGGCTCAGTGCAACCTCCACCTCCTGGGTCCAGGCAATTCTGTCTCAGGCTGCTGAGTAGCTGGGACTACAGGCGTGCGCCATCACGCCTGGCTTTGTTTGTGTTTTTAGTCAAGATGAGGTTTCAACATGTTAGCCAGGCTGGTCTCGAACTCCTGACCTCAGGCAGTCCACCCACCTCAGCCTCCCAAAGTGCTGGGATTACAGGCATGAGCCACCGCATGGTGCCCTTTTTTTTTTTTTTTTTTTGACTCAGAGTTTTCTCTGTCACCTAGGCTGGGAGTACAACGTGGCGCCATCTCAGCTCCCTGCAGCCTTGACTTCTTGGGCTTAATTGATCCTCCTGCCTCAGCAATCCAAGTAGGCAGGACCACAGATATGTGTCACCACATCTAGCTAATTTAAAAATATATATTTTGGGCCGGGCGCGGTGGCTCAAGCCTGTAATCCCAGCACTTTGGGAGGCCGAGGCGGGTGGATCACGAGGTCAAGAGATTGAGACCATCCTGGTCAACATGGTGAAACCCCGTCTCTACTAAAAATACAAAAAAATTAGCTGGGCATGGTGGCGCATGCCTGTAATCCCAGCTACTCAGGAGGCTGAGGCAGGAGAATTGCCTGAACCCAGGAGGCGGAGGTTGCGGTGAGCCGAGATCACGCCATTGCACTCCAGCCTGGGTAACAAGAGCGAAACTCTGTCTCAAAAAAAAAAAAAAAAAAAAAAACTCTGTCTCAAAAAAAAAAAAAAATATATATATATATATATTTTGGGCCTGGCAAGGTGGCTCACACCTGTAATCCCAGCACTTTGGGAGGCTGAGGTGGGCAGATCATGATGTCAAGAGATCGAGACCATCCTGGCCAACACGGTTAAACTCTGTCTCTACTAAAAATAGAAATATTAGGCTGGGCGTGGTGTTTCATGCCTGAAAACTCAGCTACTTGGGAGGCTGAGATAGGAGAATTGCTTGAACCTGGGAGGCGGAGGTTGCAGTGAGCCAAGGTTTCGCCATTGCACTTCAGCCTGGGCAACAAGAGTGAAATTCTGTCTCAAAAAACAAAACAAAAATCCAAAAAATAGCTGGGCATGGTGGCATGCACCTGTGTCCCAGCTACTCGGGAGACTGAGGCAGGAGAATCGCTTGAACCCGAAGGCAGAGGTTGCAGTGAGCCGAAGTCATGCCACTGCATTCTAGCCTGGCGACAGAGCAAGACTCTATCTCAAAAAATATATGTATATATATTTTGGACTGGGCACAGTGTCTCAAGCCTGTAATCCCAGCACTTTGGGAGGCTGAGGCGGGTAGATCACCTGAGGTCAGGAGTTCAAGACCAGCCTGGCCAAGAGGGTGAAAATTAGCTGGGTGTGGTGACGGGCACCTGTAATCCTAGTTACTCGGGAGGCTGAGGCATGAGAATCACTTGAACCCAGGAGACAGAGGTTGCAGTGAGCCAAGGTCACTCACACCACTGAACTCCAGTCTGGGCGACAAGAGTGAAACTGCATCTCAAAAAGAAAAGGGCCGGGCGCGGTGGCTCAAGCCTGTAATCCCAGCACTTTGGGAGGCCAGGGCGGGTGGATCACGAGGTCAAGAGATCGAGACCATCCTGGTCAACATGGTGAAACCCCGTCTCTACTAAAAAAAAAAATACTAAAAATTAGCTGGGCATGGTGTCGGGTGCCTGTAATCCCAGCTACTCAGGAGGCTGAGGCAGGAGAATTGCCTGAACCCAGGAGGCGGAGGTTGCGGTGAGCCGAGATCGCGCCATTGCACTCCAGCCTGGGCAACAAAAGCGAAACTCCGTCTCAAAAAAAAAAATACATATATATATATATATATATATATATATATATATATATATATATATATATTTCGTAAATGTCTCACCATGTTGCTCAGGCTAGTCAAGCGATCCTCTCACATTAGCCTCCTAAAATGCTGGGATTACAAGCATGAGCTGCTACGCCCAGCTGAAAAAAATTCGATCCCACCACTGCACTCCAGCCTGGACCACAGAGAGACCTGATCTCCAAAACAAAAATAATGGCCCTCACACCCTTTTGTGTGTGCCTCTCACCATGTGTTCCCCACCAGATTGGCAGCTCCTAAGACATAGACCCTGAGGCCTGGGGCCTTGGCCTCTCTGTGGTCAGCAAGGAGGAAGCGCCCTGCACAGGCTGCATGCGAATACAAGAGGCTCTGCATTGCTCTCAAAACTATTTCTTCTTTGCACTTTATCTTACAGAGGGGCCTGCATATCAGTGCGCAGCTGTGAGGGTGCAGGGTCTCCCCAACGGCCTGTTTTCTGCACCAGAAGGGTGAGGGCAGCCCAGGTCTATTCCCTGGGCTCTCTGTAGCCATTGAAAAGAACGAAATATAGCCAGCCTGGCCAACATAGCAAGACCCCATCTCTACAAAAATTAGTTAGCGGGACGTGGTGGCACACACCTGGGGTCCCAGTTCCTTGGGAGGCTGAAGTCAGAGGATCACTTGAGCCCAGGAGTTGGAGGCTGCAGTGAGCCGTGATCGCATCTGTGTACTTTAGCCTGGGTAAGAGAGTGAGACCTTGTCTCAAAAAAAAAAAAAAAAAAAAAAAAGAGCAAGGCAGCCGATGAAACGTTCCATGTGCTGGGTGGGAGGCTGAGAGCTGGGAGCTGGCCCTGAGCACCCCAGGCCCCTCCAAAGAGGCTGTGCCTCTGAGCCCTGACCCAGCACACCCTCATTAGCTGTAGCATGGAAATGTCTTCCTCCCTGACTGGGGCTTCTAACAGGTTGAATAGCAAGGTCCAGACTTGGGCCAGTTTGTCATTTGTCTCCGGGTCTAGCAGAAGGGTTCCACAAGCTTCTAGCAGAGCTGAAGTCAGAACAGGGCAGGCGCAGAGCAGGGCTCGGTGCCCTGGAGGCCTGGAGATGGCCTCGCCCTTCACCTGCTGGCCATTTCCTGGGTGGAAATGGACCCTGGCCTGCCTGAGCTTTTCGTTCATCCTTGCAAGCAGGAAGCCTGCCCGGAGAAGAGACTGGGGCTGGAAGGATCTGGGGGCTGCAGGGTGAGCCCGGGAGCCAGACCCAGCTAGCCCAGGCCTCCCTGAAGACCCCAGTGGGCCCCAGCCGTCAGTCAGGATTAGAGCAAAGCCCTGCTGGTGCTCAGTAAATATTCATGATGGCCTCTGTCCTCCCTGGGGTGCAGGGCAGGGGACTTGACCCTGCAGAGCCGAGAAGTAGCATGGCCACCCCTAGAGCTCAGAGGGGTGGCTGGGCGGCTCCCACAGGGCACTGCCTGTCCCTGGCAGCTGTGTGCACCACCCACAGGGCAGCACACAGAATGGTGGCCCAGGTGGCCGGGAGCCCCCATGGAGCTGGGACCCAGCCATGGGCACTGTCAGAGCCGTCTTGGGGTCCAGCCTGCTGCCCAGGGTCCAAACAACCTTCTAGAAGACGGTGTAGCCAGGGTCCCCCAGCCACCACCATCTAGGCCCTCAGGCCTCCTGAGGTCACTGCCAGGCCTGTACCTTTCAGAAACCCTCGGCATGGGGGCAGAGGTGTCAGTCCAGGCAACCTCACTCCTGAGAAAACAGCCGCCCGTGTCCCCTGACTGCAGAGCGAGCAGGGGCAGCAAGGCCAGGAGCTACAAAGGTAGGTTTCCCCGGGGTGGGGCTGGCCCGCTGAGCAGTGCCTCTCCCCACAGGCTACAGCATGCTGGCCCTGGGCCTCGGGACCCTGCTCTACGGGTACTGGAAAATAATTAAGTGGAACCGCGAACGCAGGTAGGGCCCCAGGTGGGCGTTGTCTGAAAGTCCCCCGGACCAGTTGTTGGGGTACAGTAGCATTCCACTGCTGCCCGTGCTGGCGATGGGGGCACCGGCTCCTTGGACTTGGCTGTGCAATCCCAGGCCCCAGAAAGTGCAGGTCCATACCCAGCACTTGCATTTCTAGGCTGTCCTCGAGATGTCTCCACACCTGTAATCCCAGCACTTTGGGAGGCCAAGGTGGGAGCATTACTTGAGCTCGGGAGTGTAAGACCAGCCTGGGCAACAGAGCGAGACTCTGTCTCAAAAAAAAAAAAAAAAAAAAAAAAAGTTTTGTCTAGTGAGCAGGGCTGGGACCTACGAATTCAGGTTAGGACAGGATGTGAGTGGGAGCCTGCCTCGGGGCCTCTAAGCAGGATTTTGTCAGAGGTGACCAGGCTTAAACCATAGTGGCCACACAGGGTCAGAGGAACTAGGGCCAGGCACCCCCGTCTCCCTGTGTCACAGGCTGGGCACTGCTTCCCTCCCACCTCCTGCCAGGCAGGGCTGGGAGATGGGGGTCATTGCAGGGAACTTGGAAACTGCCAGAAAGCAGGGGGAAGAAAGGAAGGATGTGCGGCCCCGCCTGCCCCAGCCTCACACCCTGTGATTATTTTGTGATGAAGGGGACGTGGTTTTGTGAGGCCCAGAGCCCCGTGATGAAGTCACTCCCCCTCATCGAGATCATCAGGCAGTTATTTTTAGGATAAAGTTTTTAATTGAAAAGAAAGGATGAAGCCAACAGTCTTGTGGCAGTCACCCGTGCAGCTGCCCGCACCCGCCCTCCTTCAGGCTCCTGGTGGGCTCTGCCCATGGCCCTTGCCCTGCCCTCTGCCTCCTGCCCGCCCCTCCCCAACCCGCCTCTTCTCCCCCCTCCCCCCTCCCCGCCTCTTCCCCCAGCAGCACCCTGGCCGGCTGAGGTCCACGCTGCCGGTGCTCCCACCACCCAGCCTAGTCTGAGCTGAGTGTGGGTTTTGGGCTTTCACAGGCGCCTGCAGATCGAGAACTTTGAGGCCCGCATCGCACTGATGCCGCTGTTGCAGGCTGAAACGGACCGGAGGTAGCGCCCCTGGGACCAAGGTCGGGAGGTCACTGGCCTGAGGGCCCCAGGCTGCAGGGCCTGACCTGCATCCCTGAAGGTGGCCAGAATGCACATGGAGGCCATCACCATGTGCATCAGCTGTGTCCCCAGAGAGGCATGGAGACTTAATGGAGACCCAAGGGGCAGTGAACCAGAAGGCAGGGTCAGAGGGAGGCTTGAAGGGGTGCTGCCAGGGGCCCTAGGCAAGGGCCCCCCAGGGCACTGAGCCCCACCCCCACCACTGGCCCCATCCCTGCAGGGTCCTGCACATGCTTCGGGAGAATCTGGAGGAGGAGGCCATCATCATGAAGGATGTGCCTGGCTGGAAGGTGGGTCCCTGGATGGGAGGGCAGGGGTGCCCACCACTGCAGAGACAGAGTCCCCCCCCCCCCCCCGGGTGGGGAACCTCTCACAGCCTTCTATAGAAGGCCCGGGACCAAGGGGGTGGTGGGTGGTGGGTGCTAGGTCCCAGTAGGGGAAGGCTGGAGTGCCTGGCCATGCATAGTGGCCACTGGTCCTGGGGGATGGGTCCCAGCAGGCCATATGTGGCTGGCAGTGCCCCTACCTATACCCCACTGTCCCCACAGGTCGGGGAGTCTGTGTTCAACACAACTCGCTGGGTGCCCCCCTTGATCGGGGAGATGTACGGACTGCGCCCCATAGAGGAGGCTCTCCATGCCAGCCACGGCTTCATGATGTACACATAGGCTCTGTGCCCTCTGTACACCTGGACCCCTTCCCCTTCCCACTGAGACAGAATAAATGCTCTGCAGACCTGGCCTGCCTGTTTTCCTGGGGACTGGGGGAGAGATGGGGGAGACAACCCAGCCAGGCACCACTGGCTCACATGCAGTATGGGGATGCAGCAGATGTGATATGGGGTGACCTCAAAACACACTCAGGGGCTGCCTCTGGCTCCACCGCCAGGCTTGTCTCCACCTGGATATACCTGGACTCTTCCTGCTTCCTGTTGAAACCCTACCTGTTAGCAGCCCACTCACCCTTCCAGGCTGGGGGCCCCTGGGTCAGGTTTGGGTCAGACTTTCACAGAGGTCTGGGGAATGAGGGGAGCTTTGACCACCCGGATGCAAGTTGTCCTCCTGCCCCAGCCTCCCGAGTCACTGGGATTATAGGCGTGAGCCCCTCTACGCTGCATGGCCCCGCTAATTGCAGGCGTGGCGAGGGTATTTGTCTGCGGAGGATCTCGCTCCCTGAGAGGGAAGCCCAGAGACGCGGGGATAGCTGCAGAGAAACTAAGTCGGGGAAGGCAACCAAGATTGGCCGGGTAGCTCTGCAATGGGATCCTGGCATGAAAGGGTTAAGTCTGTCTGAGTTCACCGACCAATGGTGACACGCAGCGCCTTCGCGGTGCCTCCTGATTGGGGGGCACGCATTGTGGGCGGGAAGGAGGAAAGAAGAGGCGTCCCCTGCCCCCAGGGATGCGCTTAAAAGGCGGTGGCGGTGGCGGCAGCGCCTGGCGCCCCAGCTCACCTCGGCCATGAGCAGCGCGGCCGGCCCAGACCCGTCGGAGGCGCCCGAGGAGCGGCGTTTCCTCAGGTCAGCTGGGGAGAGGGACGCTGGAGACGGGCATGGCTCGCATGGGGCGAGGACAGGCCCGTAGGACCAGAGGCAGGGCCACAGCTGGGACGGAATGGGGTCCGGGGACTGGAGATAGGCACAGGGATGGAGGTTCAGCGGCAGATGCGTGACCGCGGTGGGGAGCTGGAGGCAGGGATATGGCCAAGACGGCAGGGGAATCCGAGGCCCACCTGGCATCTTGCTGGAGATACTAAGCTGCGTTGCCGGGGAAACTGCCTCCGGGGACAGCCCCGCCCCTCATGAATGATTCATCAGCAGCGCTGGTCACTCCCCCAGCAAACCCCAACTTGGCCACCTCCACACAGCATCTCTCCCAGGGACCTTAGAGCGGCAGGCTCCACTTCCCCATATGGGAAGAGCTGAGCTTAGCCCAAATGCTACCACCTCCCTTGTCCAGAGGAGGAAACTGAGGCCTGGGGAAGGCAGTCATGGCTAGAGCAGATTTGGAATGCAGAGGCCGTTTGCAGGGACTGGTGAGTTTGGGATCTGGAACTGGTGCGGTGGCTGTGACTCCCACCTCAACCTCCTCAGCCTTTGTGACATGGGACCCCAGGCAAGGCCGTGGACCTCACTGTGAACCAGATTCGCCCAGTGGCTCCTGCCCACTGCCCACCTAGCAGGGCACGTGGCCCATCAGCCAATGTCCAGACTCAGCCTAGGGGACTGTTCTAGGAGCTGGAGCTGTGACCTCACCAGGTGTAGGGGGCCTCAGATGCTAAGTGAGAGGGGTGAGGGGGCTCTAAGGGGTGAGTAGGAGCCAGAACACAGTGGGGAACCTGCCGATGAGGTTGGAGACACAGAAGGGTCTTGTAGGTATGGTGAGGAGTCTGAATGTTCCCAGAGCCCTCGGGAGCCATCAGCAGGTTTGGGACTCGGTACTGGTGTTCAGGTTTTCAAAGCCCCCAAGGCTCGTGTTGAGTTTTGGGAGCAGGAGGCCACTGTGGGTGGCCAGGTGAGCCCCCCTGGTGGTCAGGTGGACAGAGGTATGAGCTGGAGAGAAGCCGGTAGGACTGAGAGCAGGGCAAGTGTGGCATGGGCACCCTGGCCTGAGGTTTCACCTCCCAGAGAGCCCCCTCCTGGAAGCATCTGGGGAGTGGCAGGCCCAGTGCCCTTTGGACCCAGGCCACCTCAGGCCTTCTAGGTCTGACAGGTGAATCCTTGAGCCTTGAAGCTTCTGTTTTTGCTGCCCCCCAATTGGGGGCTGAGATTGGGGAAAGCAAAAGGCACCTTTGAACCCCTTCCCCCAGAATCCCACAACAGCAGAAGGGACCTGCCCTGCCTGCCTCCCTCCTCCACCAGGCTCCATTCTCACGCAGCCCCGGCCTCACCCCACAGCTGCTGCATCCCACCACCAGATTCCTAACCTGGATGACCCTCTGCCCACAGAGCCCCCATTATCACTCTAATGACCAGTTAGGCAGGAAGAGAATGTTCCAAATGGCTGCCAGAGACCAAAGCTTTGGGACAGAAGAGGAATGAATCGCCCTCCCACCCTCCACTGCCTTCCCGCACCCTCCTGCGGGGGCAGCAGTCAGAGCTGTCAAAAGCTGGAGGTGGAAGAATGAGCCATGTTCCCAGCCTGCCAGAATACTCACCACGAATGCAAGTGCACCTTCTCTGTGCTTTCCTGGGAGCTGCACTGCCCTGCCAGGGGGTCTCTGTCTGACTTCACCATGAGCTCCTTTTCCCCACCCGGTCCTTCAATTTCATCCTGTGTCAGCCACAGACAGGCTGGGGTTTGAATTTGGGTCTGTATACTGGGGTGTCCCAGGCAATGTGACTTTCCTGCCCTGAGCCTCCGTCTCCCCATCTGTGTGGACCTCTACACTGTCCTCCTGACCATGTTCCTTAGCCTGGCATTTGAAGCCCCACCTGCTGTGTTCCCTTGATCACTCTGCTTCAGCCTCCCTTCTGCCCCTGGGACATTACCAGGCCCCTCCCCATCCCAGGGCCTTGGCTTTTGTTGTTCCTGTCCCTGGATTACCTCTGACGATGCAACAGGCCTCCTCCAGGAAGCCCTCGCTGACTCCCATCCGATAGCAGTCCTCATTCTCCTGCACTCTGCCCACCCAGCCTTATCATGGTGCAAAATGGGCCAGAGAGCCGTCATCTCCCACTCAAAGAACTGAAGGACAGAACCTCAGGATTCATCCCCCCAAACCTCCACCATCTGTAGGTCTGGCTCTATGTCTTTATTTATGTCCTGCGGCTCTGGAGACAGGAAGGGGGAAAGACCCAGTTTCCCGACCTGCTTCCTGTGTGACCCTAGGCAAGCCACTCAGCTTCTCTGAGTCATTAGTGGTTTCTCCAACTTTTTTAGGTCTGGCTTTCTTCATTACTTATGTTTGTGTTTTTTACTTTAGAGACAAGGTCTTTTTCTGTTGCCCAGGCTAGAGTGCAGTCGCATGATCATAGCTTACTGCAGCCTCGACCTCCCAGATTCAAGTGATCCTCCTGCCTCAGCCTCCCAGGGCACTGGGGCTACAGGTGTGCACCACCACACCCAGCCTAGCCCACCAATCGTGTCGTTCGCTCCAATATTCAGTTTTGCTCTGAGAGGTGGAGAAGGACCCCAGTCACTCAATGAAGTGGATGGCAGAGCTTCACCTCGAACTAAGTGGCCCCATCTCTCTGGCCACAAATCTTTTTTTGAGGGGGGACAGAATCTCACTCCATTGCCCTGTCTGGAGTGCAGTGGCACAAACTGGGCTCATTGCCTCCCGGGTTCAGGCGATTCTCCTGCTTCAGCTTCCCAAGTAGCTGTGATTAGAGGCATGCCCTGCCATGCCCGGCTGATTTTTGTATTTTTCGTAGAGACATGTTGGCCGGGGTGGTCTTGAACTCCCAACAAGTGCTCCACCCGCCTCCTCCTCCCAAAGTGCGGGAATTGCAGGTGTGAGCCACCCCGTCCGGCCTGGCCACAAATAATCTAATGTCACTGCCCCTGAAAAGGGATCACCAAAGGGATTCATAGCCCCAGGCCCCAAGGCCACCCTACTGAGTGTGCCATCAAACTCTGAAACCTTCAAAACCCGTGGCTCCCAGTCCAGCCCTCCCCTTTCAGCATCCTGAAACTTGTTCAGTGGCTCCCACTGGCTGAAATCAGCCCATCACCCGCATCGAAGTCCTTCAGGCTCCATTGCCCTTTCCTGATTCCTTCCACCTTGGGGGCTGGGGACGTCTAGGTCCGGTTCTGTGCCCCATGCTTTGGAGCACTGGAACCAAGGCGCGCCGCCAGTGCATCTTCTGCCACCAGAGGGCGCCCGAGCTTCGGGCTTCGGCTCCCACACCGCGGTCCGCCAGGCCTCCATTCAACCCGCTTGTCGGCCGGGGAAACTGAGGGCATCCCCAGCTCCAGGCTGCAGATGCTATTCGGGGGTACGGTGGGAAGGTGGCTTCGGGATCGGGTTCAGAAGCTTGGTGGAACATTTCTCGCTCCATCTGAGGCTGTCTCTCTGTGTCTCTGAGTGTCCCATCCCACTCTGTCCCCAGCACCGCGGAGGCAGCCGCCCTGGAGAGGGAGCTGCTGGAAGATTATCGCTTTGGGCGGCAGCAGCTCGTGGAGCTGTGCGGTCATGCTAGTGCCGTGGCCGTGACCAAGGTACCTGACTCCCCAACCCTGACCCCAACCAGATGGCCAACCTTCCCGAGGTGCATGCCTCCTGTGACCAGGGTGGTCCAGGCCTCAAGACCTCTTTGCTTGAGCCTACCCCAGCCTGATGGGTAAACTGAAGCCCAGCAAGGAGCATGCCTGGTGCAGGCCAGACGGGGACCTGAGACCGCTGGTATCAGCGAAGGCCAGGGCAGAGACTATTTGCAGGGACCGTGCCGGACCTCGGAAGTGCAGACACCTCCTGCACATGTGACCCGCCTGCTTCTGCCACCTCCTGAGTCTTGGGCACCAGGGACATCCACTCCTGCGGTCTGAGCACCCCCAAACAACCCCATTGCAGTGGGGAAACTGAAGCTCAGAGGTGGCGAGGGGCCTGCTCTAGGTCACAGGGGGTTGGAAGCAGAGCTGCAACCCAAGGGGGGTCTTGTGTGGACCTCGAGGGGCCAGGAGGATGACACAAGGGTGACAGCAGTAATGATACTATGGAGTGCTTCGCTGTGCAGCCAGCTTGCTGGGCCTCAGGTTCCTCGTCTGCAACGAGATAATAAATGGTACTGACCAGTCAGTCCCTAAACACACACGCTTCAGGAAAGAGTCCCATATGGTTAGGGCTCCAGTGTGACTCCCTCCTCAGCCCCCTTGCCTTTCTCCTCCTTTCTCCTCCTGTTCCCTCCTCTCTCCCTCCTCCTCTCCCGTTTCCTTCCCTCCTTCTCCCCTCTGCCCCTTTCTCCCCTCCTTTCTCCCTCCTCTTCCTCTTCCCCCAGGGCCCCTCCTCCCCCTCCCCCTGCTCTCTCTCCTTCCCCTTCCTCTCCCCCTCCCCGTTCTCCCCCTCCTCCCTCCTCCTCATCTTTTTCTTATTGCCACTGTATACTTTTTTTTTTTTTTTGAGACGGAGTTTCGCTCCTGTTGCCCAGGCTGGAGTGCAATGGCGCGATCTCGGCTCACCGCAACCTCCGCCTCCTGGGTTCAGGCAATTCTCCTGCCTCAGCCTCCTGAGTAGCTGGGATTACAGGCATGTGCCACCATGCCCAGCTAATTTTCAGTATTTTTAGTAGAGACGGGGTTTCACCATGTTGACCAGGATGGTCTCGATCTCTTGACCTCGTGAGCCACCCGCCTCGGCCTCCCAAAGTGCTGGGATTACAGGCTTGAGCCACCGCGCCCGGCCGCCACTGTGTACTTTTTAAAAACTCACTGTTTTTCTTCATGTGGACTTAAATGTTTGTATTTCCAAATGAAATAGATCCCGGGTGAGGTGCCCAAAGGAGAAGGAAAGTCAAAACCCCAGAAAGAAACCCAGGTAGTCACTGCTGGCCTGGCGCCCAGTGCCTACCCATCCCATTTGGCACTCAAAGCCCATGGTCTGTCCCGAAGCCCCTCAGTCCCAGTCTTAGGTCATGGGCTCTGGGCCAGCATGGTGGGGGTCGAAGGCGTGTTCATGGCGGGTCAGGACCGCGCTGAGCCCTTGGACCGCGCTGAGCCCTTGGGGAGGAGGCTTGAAAAAGCAGTCATTTGCCTTCTGTGTGGTTGCAGCTTAAAGTACAACCGGGGCTCAGGAGATGCCCAATGTGCCTCTCAGGTAATATCACTGTCATCACATTTGATAAAGGCCAAACTGAGGCTGGGAGAGGAGAAGGGGCTGGGGCCACACATAGTCAGGGCAGGGCCGAGGTCGAAACGCCCACATTAGAGACTCATACATGCCACAGAGACAGCCAGAGACGTGGAGCCCCAGAGACGCAGAGACAGGGAGACTTGATGGGGAGAGACACTGAGTCTCAGAGATACAGAGAGAAAGACAGCCAGCCAGAGACAGCCGGAGAGAGACAGGCCCCAGGGCATTGTGGGTGGGGTTGGGCTCCCCCACTCTGGGGCCTCCGGGAGGGGCTGAGGTCTGGAAACATGGCGGGGGCGGGCCCGCGGTGAGAAAGGTGGAAGAATGTCTGCAGCTCCGGCGGAGAATAAACAAACCGCACTCCAGGAGACGGGCGGTGGCTGGATGCACGTTTTTCCTGCAGACCTGGCAGAGCCCGAGACCGGGATTCTGCATCTCCGATGGGGAAACTGAGGCCCTAAGAGGCCCACCCCCTCATCCAGAACGCCTCTCCTACTGTGCTATCCCGTGGCCCACAGGCCCAAGCCCCATCCGTTGCCCTACTCTGGGCCTCAGTTTCCCCTCGAGCACAGAGTAATCTGGCCCTTGCCTGTGCCTTTGCTGTGCCCCTACCAGGCGTTCCCGTTGCCCGCTCTCTCCCGGAAGCAGAGAACGGTGCTGGTTGTGTGCGGCCCGGAGCAGAATGGGGCGGTGGGGCTCGTCTGTGCCCGGCACCTGCGAGTGTTTGTAAGTAGCGAGGACCCCTTGCACATCCCGAAGTCCCTGCCCCTGCAGAAATCACCTCCTTGTTTTCATAGTGTCCCAGGGGGACGTCAACGAAGGGCCAGGTGATAGAATATGCCCAGTGCTCGTCCCCAGCAGGGTCTGGTGCTAGTGACCAGATCAGGGGAGGCTGGGATGGCTCCCGGCTCTGAACCCCTCTTCCCCCACCCCAGGAGTACGAACCCACCATCTTCTACCCCACGCGCTCGCTGGACCTGCTGCATCGGGACCTGACCACCCAGTGTGAGAAGATGGACATCCCCTTCCTCAGCTACCTGCCCACCGAGGTCAGGGCCAAGTGGCAAGCAAGGGGGACATGGTGGGCGGTGGCCCCCGGCCGCCCTCACCCTGCCTGCCCTCCCCAGGTGCAGCTCATTAACGAAGCCTACGGGCTGGTGGTGGACGCTGTGCTGGGCCCCGGCGTGGAGCCACGTGAGGTCGGGGGCCCCTGCACCCGTGCGCTGGCCACGCTCAAGCTGCTGTCCATCCCCCTCGTGAGCCTGGACATCCCTTCAGGCATGCTGGACAGAGGGGGGCACATCGGGGCCTGGGGGGCTTGGGTGAAGGTCCTTGTGCCCCAGCTCCTTGTGGACCCTGCCTGTCTGAACCTCAGTCCCCCAGCTGGGATGGAGCCACACTCGGCTGAGGTTGAGGGTGACGCCCATCCCTTGGATGGGGAAGATCGAGGCTGCCACCCCAGGTGACCCCAGGTCCCCTCCTTCCCCAACCCCAGTGCCCAACCCACATGCCCTCTGCCCACCCCTGGCCCAGTTGCCTGGGCAGACGTGAGCTCACTCGGCAAAGGCTGCACCCGCCCTGGCCGCCGCCCCACGCCTGTTGGAAACATTAGGCGACGGGCAGATGGAACAAACAGCCGTTGGCCAGCTGGACCCTCCATGGGGGTAGCTGGACTCTGGGGGGTGTCCCCTGGCTCTTGGGATCCCAGGGACATCCCAGCAGGGTGCTGCAGAACAGGGGCACTAAAGGAGGAGGTGTGCTCTCTGATCTGAGGGGGAGGCTGCAGGCTAAGCCTAGGACAGAGAGGGTGGTTAGGAACCTCTAGTCTGAGGATGGTGGCTAGGGTCAGAGAAGGATTAAAGTCTAAGGGAGGATCCAGTGGCTTCTGGTGAGTGGCCCCAGAATCAAGTCAGACATAGGAGAGAAGGCAAGTCTCCTAGACTGAAAGCGGAGACTCATTTGAGAGGTGATGGAGGCTGGGCGGGGCTCATGCCTGTCATCCCAGCACTTTGGGAGGCTGAGGCAGGTGGACCACCTGAGGTCAGTAGTTCCAGACCAACCTGGTCAACATAGTGTGAAACCCAGTCTCTACAAAACACAAAAATTTACTGGGTGTAGTGGCGCATGCCTGTAGTCCCAGCTACTTGGGAGGCTGAGGTGGGTGGATCACCTGAAGTTAGGAGTTTGAGACCAGCCTGACCAATATGGTGAAACCCCATCTCTACTAAAATCATAAAAATTAGCCAGTCATGGCAGCCTGCAACTGTTGTCCCAGCCGCTTGGGAGACTGAGAAAAGAAAATTCCTTGAACCCAGGATGTGGAGGTTGCAGGGAGCTGAGATCATGCCATTGCATTCCAGCCTGGGTGACACAGCGAGACTCTGACACGCACACACGCACACACACATGCACATACACACACACACCCCAAAAGGTAATGTCTAATCTGGGAGTGAGAGTAGGGACCTTTGGTCAGATGGAGGAGTCTCTAGTCAAGTGGGGAAGATGGATGAGGATGGCATGTCCTGTTAGAGGCAAGAACCTCGAGCAAGTCTGATGGCGGAGGCTTGCCTGAGGCTGGAGGCCAGTCCGTAGTCTGAGTAGAGGCTGGAGATCTAGTCATGGGGGAGAGCTGGGATCTGGCTGGAAGATCTGGGAGGAAAGAGGCTACAGCCTCCACCTTAAAAGGTGGAGAGGCTCTAAGCTGATGGGGAGGGAGTTGTGGGGACAGGTGCCAGGTCAGAAGGCAGAGGCCTGGCTCTCGTGGGAAAGGGCAGCAAGTGGAAATGATGTCTGAAGGCAGGCTGGGTCAGATGGAGGAGGGGGATGGAGTAGGATGGGAGCAGAAGAAAAGTCGAGTGTGGAAGCTCTGGTGGGATTGGGAGGGAAACACGTCCAAGGACCGGGAGAGACTTGTCTGAGGGTGGAGGCAGAATTCTCGGGGGAGACAAGTCTGACCAGGACTCACATGCCAGAGAGAAGAGGCTGGGTCTCATGGGGTAGGAGAAGGGGGTGTGTGCAGCAGGACTCTGGTCTGAGGGCAGAGGCTCAGTGTTGGAAGGGAGGGGAGGCCGGACAGGACGGACTCTAGGCTCAAGGCAGGCCACCCTCCCAGGTCCTAATTCCCCCGGATCCTCCTCCCTCAGGCTGGGACGCAGAGACTGGCAGCGACTCAGAGGACGGGCTGAGGCCCGACGTGCTGGTGTCGCTGGCGGCGCCCAAACGCTGCGCTGGCCGCTTCTCCGGGCGCCACCACTTCGTGGCCGGCAGGTTCGTGCCCGACGACGTGCTCCGAAAGTTCGCTCTGCGTCTGCCGGGATACACGGGCACCGACTGCGTCGCGGCACTGTGACCGCCGCCCGCGCCCACGCCGCTGGGACCCGTGCCAATAAACAGCCCTCCCACCACCAGCGCCTCGCCTCCGCCTCCTTTGTGCACCGGCCCGCCGCGGGGTGGACGCACTCGAGGAGGGACTTCCCACGGTCCCTGGGCGGCCCGAGGCGGGGAGGATGGAGAGGGGCTGTGGAGTGGGACTTCCCGCTGGCCTCCTAGAAAACTCGAGCCAGGGCTGGGGGCGGTGGTTCCCGCCTGTAATCCCAGCACTTTGGGGGGGCCGAGGCTGGAAGATCGCTTAAGGCCAGGAGTTTGATACCAGCCTGGGCAAGATTGCGAGACCCCGACTCTACAAATTAAAAAGAAGAAAACTCGAGCCAGAAGAATGGGGGGTTAGATTAGGGGTGGGGCTCCCAGGCAGCTTGGGGTGGCCTAAAGCCGATGGAATCGAAGTTAGATGCGAGGGAGCACTTGTAGCCGCCTAAAGCGTGAAGGTCCGAGCACCTTCAGGCTGGATTCCAAGTGGCACTTCCCGCAGGCAGCTTGGGATGCAGCTTGGAGGACGAAGAGTGGGCTCGGGGAGGGACTGCCAGCTGGCCTCGGGAACCCAGGCCAGCCTGAGGGCGTAGGCACAGCCGGACGCACCGAGGGGGAGCCCCAGAGGGGTTGCTCGAGCGCTCGTCACCCAGGGCCAGGGGGCGTGGTCTGAGTGGGCGTGGCATGGGCGGGGTCTGCGGTCGCTTCCCGCCCCCACCCTCAATCCCAGCGCCCTCCAGACCTGCCGGAGTTGGACCCAAGCGCGCCGCGGAGCCCGGACCCTCCCTCGAACCCTCCGCCCCGGCCATGGCGTCGTTGCTGTCACTCCTGTGTGTCTGTGTCGCCGCCGCGCACCTGGCGGGGGCCCGAGGTGAGACGCCTCCAGCCCCCGCGCCCAGTCCCCGAGGCTCCCGAAGGCCTGGCAGCCGGCCTTGCATGCAGCCGCACCCAGGAAGAGAACCCAGGGACCCACGCACTTCCCCAGGGACTGGGTCCCCTTCACCAGTCGGATCCCCGGGACCACCTGGGGCGGGGAGCGGGCCTCATCCATTTTCTTCCTCGGCTAAGCCGGGAGTGTGGCTAAGAACCTAGGGTTCCTCGCGGGGTTTGGACTCTGAATCACCCAGCCAGGTCTCCCACTCTGGACCGAAGGGGTCGGAACTGGCCCCTCCCACCTAACTCCCACACACCCACTTACTCCAACCTCTGGAGAAAGAAATAAATGCCCATCTCTGGAACACTGGATGGGGCGGGGGACGGGCCCATGCTCAGGAGACTGAGGCCCCGTGAAGAAAGGGGTTTGTCTAACCTCATCACTCTGCAGGGAGTATCTTGGACAGCTCCTATCTTGGAGAAGCCAGTCTAGATTCCAAGGACTTCCGACAGGCAGCTCGGAACTCTAGTACAGGAATGGAAGGTAGACTAAGGGAGGGATTTCCAGTGGGCCAAGTGGATGAGGGGGAGCCCAGCCTGAGGGCAGAGGCAGAGCCGGCTAAACTTGATTAAACTCATGGCAGCTGAACACAGAGGGACAGAGCCTCCGGCCCAGGGGAACTGGCTGGTACTCGGACTTCCCCAGCCCAGGGGTTGGGGCTCGGTCAGAGAGGGGGATTTGGCTTTGGGAGCCTGGTGGTTGTAGTGGACAGTGCGCTGTAGGGAGTGTGCGGCAGCCCCTGGGGCTACAGGTGGATTGTGGCCTTTCAGAGACTCAGTTTTCCCTCCTGTTAAAATCGGGATGATCGGCCAGCCGGGGGGGGGGGGCTCACGCCTGTAATCCCAAAACTTTGAGAGGCTGAGGCGGGTGGATGACCTGAGTTCAGGAGTTCGAGACCAGCCTGGCCAACATGGTGAAACTCCGTCTCTACTAAAAATACAAAAATTAGGCCGGGCGCGGTGGCTCAAGCCTGTAATCCCAGCACTTTGGGAGGCCGAGGCGGGTGGATCACGAGGTCAAGAGATCGAGACCGTCCTGGTCAACATGGTGAAACCCCGCCTCTACTAAAATACAAAAAATTAGCTGGGCATGGTGGCACGTGCCTGTAATCCCAGCTACTCAGGAGGCTGAGGCGGGAGAATTGCCTGAACCCAGGAGGCGGAGGTTGCGGTGAGCCGAGATCGCGCCATTGCACTCCAGCCTGGGTAACAAGAGCGAAACTCCGTCTCAAAAACAAACAAAAAAAAAAATACAAAAATACAAAAATTAGCCGGGCTTGAAGGCGCGTGCCTGTAATCCCAGCTAGCCCGGAGGCTGAGGCAGGAGAATCGCTTGAACCCGGGAGGCAGAGGCTGCAGTCAGCCGAGATGGTACCACTGCACTCCAGCCTGTGCGAGAGGGAGATTGTGTCTCAAAATAATAATAATAATAATAATAATAATAATAATAATAATAAAGGGGGAAGGATGATCATGGCTGCACCTTGCCTTAAGGGAGGCTCCCAGCAGTCCCTGACCAGCGTGCTTCCTTCTCCCCACTTCTCACCCACAGACACCACTTCAACCGAGGAACCCACAGCGATTGCATTGGGCCTGGAAAGAACGTCCGTGCACCCTGGGCAGCCCTCACCGGCCCTGGAGGACTGGGAAGGTGAGTCAGCCTGCCTGGAGTCCCCTCTCTGCTGCGGGTTTGTTGCGGGGACTTGGGCTGCTGGGTCGTGTGAGGAGGGGGCGCACACTGGGCGAAGGCCCCGGGGCCGTCCTGGTCCCCGGACAAGACAGCCTTTAGAGATGATGCTCCAAGTTCAAGGTCTAAGTGAGGGGCCGGTCAGACAGCGGCAAGATCTCAGTGCGCAGGGATGGACCAGGCCAGGCCCTGGGCGGCAGAACTGCGGGCGTGAGGAGCCCAACCTGCCCTGCACCTGATTCAGGCCGCTGGCTCGGGTCGTGGGTATGCTCGGCTAGCCCATGACCACGCGGGGAGGGGGTTGAGACCGCAGGTAAGGCCTTTGCACGCACGGATGGGGGCCTACAGGCCGCCGCCTCGGTCCCAGCGCATGCGGTGCCCGCAGAGGCCAGCGAGTGGACATCCTGGTTCAACGTGGACCACCCCGGAGGCGACGGCGACTTCGAAAGCCTAGCGGCCATCCGCTTCTACTACGGACCAGCGCGCGTGTGCCCGCGACCGCTGGCTCTGGAAGCGCGCACCACGGACTGGGCCCTGCCCTCCGCCGTCGGCGAGCGCGTGCACTTGAACCCCACGCGCGGCTTCTGGTGCCTCAACCGCGAGCAACCGCGTGGCCGCCGCTGCTCCAACTACCACGTGCGCTTCCGATGCCCACTAGGTGAGGGCGGGGCTGGATGGTCGGGGGCGGGGCTTGGAACCGGCGATGCTGGCAACCGCCCGGGAGGGTCGTGGGTAGGGCTGGGAGGGGCAGGACCATGTGGATGTGGGCGTGGTTAGGAAGAGCCTGCGGGACCCCTAGGCGTAGGGCCATGCGAGGCGGCGGGGCCACGGGGGCGGGGCTTTTGAGGAGAGGTGCCGGGAACAGCGTGGTGCCCAGGTGCACCGCCAGGAGACCTGGCGGGTGAGGACCCATGTCTGGTTCCCTGGAAAGCATCTCCTCGTTTGCGCATCTGTGGCTTGTAAGAGCTCCGTTCTGTGGCGTGTCTTGAGCCCAGATGTGTGCAGGATGCAGGGAGAAGAGCAGGACTGACCCCCAGGACCTTATGCGGGGGTGGAGAAGTGGGGCAGTACCTGAACTATGTCTTCGACAGGTGCGCTTAGGAGAGCATGGGTGGGGGCAATGGCAGGTCTGCCCTCTGGAGTGTCCGCCCTAGGATGCACGTACGTGAGGAGGTTAGGGAACAAGGACCCTTCAGTCCCAGGTTACCCGGAGGCGCGTTTCCTGGGGAGGGCGGCCGCCTGATCTCCCTCCCTACCTTCTGCAGAGGCCGCGTGGGGCGCGTGGGGCCCTTGGGGTCCCTGCTCGGGGAGTTGCGGGCCAGGGCGTCGCTTGCGCCGCCGCCACTGCCCAAGCCCCGCTGGGGATGCGTGTCCCGGACGTCCTCTGGAGGCGCAGAAGTGCGTGCGGCCTCGGTGCCCAGGTAGGAAGAGGCGGGGTCTGAGGGTAGGGGCCCTGCACAGAGGAGAGGGGAGGTTAGGAACCGAGTCTAGCGGAGAGGGTGAAGTTAGAGGAGGGACCTGGGTGTAGAGAGGCGGTGCCTCTTGTGAGCGATGCCTAGAGGGGAGGAGCTAGTTGGGGGCGGGGCTCTGAGGGGCGGGGCTTGGCACGGGGGCGGAGCCTGGAGGACCCAAACTCTGCAGCTAGGCCTTCCTTCCCACCTGGTTCCAAGGAGCACTGGTGACTATGCACATCTGGACAGGTGGACACCAGGGGCCTCGTGTGCAGGCAGACATGGGCAGATCGGAAGGGGTGCTTCCCCTGTGTGCATGCCAGAATGTACGGATGTCTCCGTGGGGGAACAGAAGTCAGTTGTTGATGCACTCATGGTGCACACATGCGTGGAGTTTGCAGCCCCCCCCTTCCGTCCCCCACGCCCACACAGACACGGACTCACAGCCTGGCAAACACGATGCCTAGGCCCTCCCAGGGCCAGACACCGAGCAAGCCAGGAGGAGACTGGAAATTCCGCTAGCTCCTGGGCTCCACAAACATGGCCTGGAGGCTGCTCCGGGGAGCCTGTCACAGGGTGGGGGCACATGGTGGCCAATGGGGCGTTGGGGTCCCCACCCCATCGCGCCTGGCTCTGCTCTCCCGGCGCCTGTGCCCTGAAGTTTCCAGTGGAATTTTCCATTTTATAAAGAAACCGCGAGATTGGGAAGGGGAGCAGTTGTTCTCAGCCCAAGATCCAGCCCCTCGCTGGGCCCCAAGCCCCTGTCTACATTTTCTGCTGAAAAGGGCAGTGCTGTATAATTTGAGACTCACCTCTCCTGTCCCCTCCTTTAGGACTTCCATACATCTCTGGACCCCACCCAGTTCATACTCCCTGGCCCAGCTCTTACCACTCAGCCCATCTCCCCCTTATACTAGGGACCACTTCAAGCAGGGCCATGCTGAGGCCTCTGAGAGACACCTTATGGCGG